AACTTGACCTGCGTATTATGAATATTTATCAGTTCTGTAAGTTTCAAGCCGAAAGGTAAAATGGTTTTCCACTTATCGTGTTATCGGTGCTGCACATATGCTGAAAAAAGAGAAAAAATAGCCTAAATTCACTAAAAATGACCCAATCACGCTGATTTTCGAACTTGACCTCCGTATTATGTATATTCATCAGTTCTGTAAGTTTCAAGCCAAAAGGTAAAATGGTTTTCCACTTATCGTGTTATCGGTGCTGCATATATGCTGAAAAAAGTGAAAAAACAGCATAAATTCCATATAAGTGACCCGATCATGCTGATTTTCGAACTCGACCTGCGTATTATGAATATTCATCAGTTATGTAAGTTTCAAACAAAAAGAAAAAACGGTTTTCCACTTATCGTGTTATCGGTAAAAGTGCACGGCGACGACGGCAACGACGGCGACGGCGACGACAGACGCAGATGACGGCTATATGTACAGACACATCTGTGTCTGTACATAATAAAAAGGCAGCTGAGCTAAGTACATTATAAAGAAAATGCATAGAGAAAGTTGATATTTATCTACTCACATAAATATAATGACAATTATTTAAATTTCAGCCACATACATGTATAGAACATGCTTTTTAAGTAATGTCTTCAGCTTTAGAAGCTAAATGTTTCACTTGACATAAAATCTAAACAGAGAACTTTTACAAAACAAAACTATTATTAAGACAGTATTTGATAACATTTGTTTTGATTCCAACAAATTTGCACAATTTTAGGAACATTTTTCCTATTTTCGATATCTAATATCCACACACAATATTTTGAAGAAAGATTCTCTAAAACTTTTGGAGACAAGTTTTATAAAATAAATAAGTATAGCTGCTTAAGTGTACTCTTCACCTATTCTAATATGTCCACAAGTCACATTTTAATTTCTAAACATTCTGCAAAGCTCCTCTTCTTTCCAAAATTCAGACCTTGAAAATACTTAAACCCCTTACATATTTGACTAAATACAGTGTGTGCTTTGTGAAACATGAAAAAGACAAATAGTGGCATGAATGAATCACAATTTCACGTAGAACACATTTATTGATTAAAATAAGAAAACATTCAATCAAGTGCAAGAATGGGTCCAGCAATTTTTTGTGAGTGCATTAAAATTGCTATTTTTTGCCTGATGAAAATTTGGTGAAAAAAAAAAAAAAAAAAAAAAAAAAAAAAAAAAAA